CTCTTTGGCTTCGAAGATCCCGTAGACCTGATTTACTACCAGTTGGGAGTCTCATTTGATTTCTATGACCTTAGAATCCAGTCCCCGAGCCAGCTCGAGTCTTGCAATCAAAGCTTCATGCTCTGCTTCATTGTTAGTCAGAGGAACAGTTCTTATGACCTGCCTTAGGGTTTCTCCCGAGGGCGTGGTTAGCACTATACTAAGCCCGGACCCCTTCACATTGGAAGATTCGTCCGTGAACAAGGTCCAAATTCCCAATGTCAATTACGACACCATCACTGCTTCTTTGGTAGCCAAAGGTAATAGACCAGGACTGAAATCAGCCACAAAGTCAGCCAAAAGCTTGCGACTTAATCGCAGTTCTAGGTTTATAATCTATATCAAATTCACTAATTTCGAGGGCCCATTTGTCCAGCCTACCTGAAAGTTCAGATTTGTGAAGAATATTCCGCAGGGGAAAAGTGGTCACCACGGCTATCGGGTGACATTGAAAATAAGGCCTTAGCTGTCGAGCGGCGACTACGAGGGCTAAGGCCAATTTTTCCAGATGTAGGTAGCGAGTTTCTGCTCCCGTTAAAATTTTACTAACATAATAGATAGGAGATTGCGTACTTTATTCCTCACGGAATAAAACGACACTTACCGCTACCTCCGAGACCGCTAAGTAGATCAGCAATTATTCGTCTTCCTCTGGTTTTGACAGTAAAGGCGGACTTGACAAATACCTTTTCAGATCCCTCAAAGCCTGCTGACATTCCGGAGTCCATTCGAAGTTGTTCTTATTTTTTAGTAGTGAAAAGAAATGATGGCATTTCTCTGAAGACCGGGAAATGAACCTGCTCAAAGCGGCCAGTCTCCCTGTCAACCTTTGAACCTCTTTCACGCTTGATAGTTGGTCCGGGATATCTTCGATGGCTTTAATTTTATCGGGGTTAACCTCGATCCCCATTTGCGACACCAGGAATCCCAAGAACTTACCAGAGCTGACTCAGAATGCACACTTCTCAGGGTTAAGCTTCATCTTGTGCTTTCTTAGGATGTCAAAGGTTTCTCGCAAGTGTTTAAGATGATCACCTGTGTCAAAGACTTAACCAGCACATCATCTATGTAAACTTCCATGGTTTTCCCTATTTCTTTTCAAACATTTTGTTTACGAGCCGCTGATAAGTGGCTCCAATGTTTTTTAGCCCGAAAGGCATCACATTATAACAATATGTGCCGAAGTTTGTTATGAACGAAGTTTTTTCCTGATCCTCCGGGTTCATCTTTATTTGGTTGTACCAGGAGTAAGAATCGAGGAAACTCATTAACTCGTGCATGCCCGGTGTATCAATTATTTGATCAATGTTCGGTAATGGGAACGTGTCTTTTGGGCACGCCTTATTTAGATCCTTATAGTCTACGCACATACAAAATTTATTATTTTTCTTTGGAACTACTATTGCGTTAGCTAACCAGTCAGGATACTTTACCTCTCGGATTGAACCGATATCAAGAAAACGAGTTACCTTTTTTTGACGAATTTGTTTCTGACCTCGACAATAGGACGTTTTTTTCTGCCTTACTGGAGGGATGTTGGGATCTAGGCTTAGTTTGTGCACGGCCTCTTCTGGTGGGATACTTGTCATATCTGCATGTGACCATGCGAAACAATCAACGTTAAATTTAAGAAATTTGATAAATCCAGACCTGAGCTCGGGGTTTAGTCCTGTCCCCAAGTGGAAATTCCTCTCCAAGAACTTTTCGTACAATGCAACTTGTTCAAGTTCTTCCGCTGTGGATTTTGTTGCGTCTGTTTCCTCTGGTACCTAGAAGTACCTTGGCACCTGATAGGATTCTGACGACTCCTGCCCCTGGTTGACTTCGCTTAGCTCGGAAGTAGGCGTCGGTTCCTGTAATTGCTATGTTTCATGCTCTTTCCCTTTGCTACTGGAAATTGAGATTGCATTCATCTCCCTTGCCACCGGTTAGTCCTCTTATTTGTTTAATTCCTTCGGGAGTTGGGAATTTCAGCAATTGATGATATGTTGACGGTACGGCCTTCATCTCGTGCAACCATGATCTCCCCAGGATAACATTATAACCCATATCACCATCAACTAAGGGTCGTCTTCATCACCCCCTCGGCATTCGTGGGCAGCAGGATCTCTCCACGGGTTGTTACACTTGTCAGATTGAACCCGGCGAGGAGTTTTGTGGCCGGAATGATACTTCCGGTCAACTTGGCTTGTTCCAGCACTCTGCACTAGATAATATTGGATGAACTTCCTGGGTCCACCAAAACACGTTTAATTTTAAAATCTAAGACATTTAAAGAGATTACTAAGGCATCATTGTGCGGCAGTAGTAGTCCATCTGCATCTTCCTCTGTGAAAGTAATGTCGTCCTCAGCGACTTCCCGGAGTCTCTTACTGTGGGTCATCGATACCTTTGTCTTTTTTGTCGCCGAAAATGTCTCACCATTAATCTCGTTCCCCCTGAAAAATCATGTTGATTGTCAAACGTGGAGGATATTCTCCTACTTTTGAAGGCTCCGTGTTATCCCAATTGCGGCTGTAATTATTTTTGGCTCGATCGCTCAAGAATCTCTAATATGGCCATTTTTTAGTAATGTCGCCACTTCCTCGCGTAGATGTCAGTAGTCCCATGTCCGGTGGCCGTTGGTCCCGTGATATTCCCACCACATATTAGGATCCTCTGACTGGGATCGGATCTTGGCTTCGGGAACCGTGTTTCCTTAATGTTCCTCATAGCCGATACCAACTCCACTACGCTGACATTGAAGTTGTATTCGGAAAGCCTAGGGCATGAGGAATCTCGGGAACCTGATATCTCCCTGTCCTGCAATGACCTATTATTCCGGTCGCGATCAGATCTTCTTTCGATTGTGAATCTATCCACGGACCGGAAACCTCCACCGCATCCTTTGACCCTTTCATAGGGCAAAAACCGACCTCTTAAAGACCATCAATCTACGTCAAAATCATCTTTTGACTTCTCTTTATTCTTCTCCCAGTCCCGAAACTTGGTTGATGTCGGGAAACCGAGATGATCATCCTCAGTTCTTATCTTGGATTCGCACTGGTTGTAAATATCTGCCCATGTTATTGCCTGAAACTCGAGCAGACTTTCTTTAAATTTACGGGAAGCATCGGAACATCTGGGATTCAGACCTTTAGTGAATGCTTCAGTTACCCATTCGTTTGGTACGGCCGGTAGCAGCATCATTTCCTTCTGGAACCTAGTCACAAACTCCCGCAGCAATTCGGACTCTCCTTGTGCAATCTTGAATATGTCGGCCTTTCGTGCATGTACCTTCATGGCCCCGGCATGGGCCATGATGAAGGAGTCCGCGAGCATCTCAGAGGAGTCTATGGAGTGCTCGGGCAAAAGCGAATACCATGTTAGGGTTCCTTCGTAAGGGTCTCCCCGAATTTCTTTAGTGAGACTGATTCAATCTTGTGGGGAGCTAAATCGTTCTCCTTCACCGCCGTTGTGTAGGTGGTGATGTGCTCCTGAGGATCTGAAGTCCCATCATACTTCGACACGTATGGCATTTTGAATCGCTTCGGGATCAACTCTGGTGTCGCGCTTGGTTTGAACAGCAACTGGGTATATTTCTTTGAGTCCGGTCCTTTCAACACTGGTGGTGCGCCCGAAATTTGATCTATTGGGGCGTTTATTTCCCTCATAAACCGCATGAGTTCGATTTTAAAGGGGTCACTCTCGTTGTTGTTACCAGATCTGCTACTGTTCCCCCAGGACCCATCGAAGTCGACCTCGCCCCTCGGGGTATTGTTGTCGACCCTCTGCGTTATTTTATTTGCAGGAGCACCGGGAGGAACTGGACCTCGTCCATTTGCATTGTTGGAAGCACCTGACAACGCGTGCTTCAACTCCGTCATGACCTGATCCTGTCATGTGAGATGGTCTATATTGGCCTTTTGTTGCTCTCTCAAGATCCTTACTGTTTCAACGACGTGCTCGTCTTCAACATCATCAGGAGTCGCCTCTCGAACATGTCGTGGATATTGCCCGTCGTGGACCGGCGTGGCCTCGTCCCCCTCGTTGCGGATATCACTGATTGAATCTTCGTGCTGAGGCTGATTTCCTTGGGCCTCAACGTTGTGTGCGATGTTGACACAGTCATCTGCCATTTTCTATAATTTTTGCTAAGAACAAATAATCAAACGAGTTAGTAATAGATGCAAGGACCAACTCAATTACACAACTGTCTAAGTCACACTGTGGCCGCCAAATTGCTTACCTATAAAGCGGTACAGTTGAATTTGTATGTGGTTTATAGACAAGTGAATCGATTTGATTCCAAAATGATAAATAAATTAGAAAAACATGTAAGAATTGGCCTTGAGGTTGAGATAAAACAACATAAATCGTGGTTGCGGGAGCAGAGCTTCCGGAGGTAGTAATAACAATATAAATAAGCAAGAAGATAAAATTGTATTGAGCTTTGAACAGAGTATAGTATATGTTTGTTAGAAAATTTGTATCCCTTACAATGATTGTAGAGCTCACTATTTATGGTTGCACCTAGGGAACAAGGCCCTAGGATCAAGCCCTCTTAAATGACAATTATGAGGGCCATTGAAGAATGTGTAATGGTGGGCAGTAAGTGCCATATTCTCTGTAGCGAACCGTGCACTTAATGCTATAAAATATTCTCCATTAAATGCTATCGGGTGACAGATATTTAATTCGCCTTTATGAATACCATTCTCTTCGAGATCGTTGCCTTCGGACCAGACTGTCTTCTGTCTTCGGCTCTACGTGTCGCTTCCTTATGCAATCATTAAATATGAACATATTTTACCCTATACACCCCTATCGTTGGTTAACGTCATTTTTAGTTGAACCCGCTTGCGTAAAATTCTAGGTCCGCCATTGTACTCGATTATGCAAAAACTGTCTGGAATACATTGAACAAAAATGAAGAAAGACATTTCTTTCACTCTTCTTATTCTCTCATTCACAACTATCCGTGTTAGAAGTTAGTACCATCATCTGGTGTGAAATGCAAAACTCATCAGACTACTCACTGTTAGTACTATGATGAATCAGAACCTAAGAATCTGTGATATTTAACATAGGTTGATTGAAGAAAATGAAGCATATACAGTATTTATTGACAATGAAAAAACAAAACTGCTTCATGCATCCCAAGTATTCAAGGTGAACGTCTGCAACAGTTTCTCTACAGTCTGGGAGCATGGAATCAGCTGTTCACGCGACTTGAATTTAGATCATATAAGTCTTGTACTGTATGAACCACAATGTGAGCACTTGTGATAGAGCCAGTGGAAGGAAGCAGTTCCTCTCTTTTGACAATCATTGCATAGTATAACCTGTATATATGTAACCTTCTCAGTGTGAACAGGATTGATAATACATTAACCCCAATTCAGAAGAATATTCATAAATGGAAACAGAACATGCTTTAAGTGAACCTGAATCTGGCCAGCATACTCCTCGGGAATTTTCTCCTGAGAAAGAAATGCATCTAACATCTCAAAGAGCACCTGAAATTGAGCACAAAATGAGCTGCATATTCAATACAATTTTTAACCATGAACCAGTAATGAGCTTTGACGTTCAACAGTTTTTCTGACCTTCATGTCCCCAAGAGTCTTGCTACAGATTGGGCATGTGTAATGCGTTTCAGTGTAGTCCTAAAAAGTGTATTTAAGGAAAAAATATGAGCAATACCGTCTGAAAATTCCTTTAGTTTTAGTTAACTAAGAGAACTTTGCATGAGTTTTATACCTGAAAACATGTAGAGTGCATCAAATGACCACAAGGAAGTTGCTTAACAGGAGAAGCGGAAGTGAAAATGTACTCATGGCAGATTGGACAGTTATCCTCCAAGCACTTCTCTCTACATGTGTGAACGGAGAGAGCCTTTGACATGCAAGCATTGCAGGTCATGCAATGGAAGTATCCAATGCCCAATCCCTTCCCCAGTCTGCACAAATTGCAGAATGGGCAGTGGTATATCTGTCTGTTCAAACAAGTTGTGCCAGAATTAGATTGTTGGAACAGACATAATGCTAGTCTACGAAGTTCGAAATAACTGTCTTTTTTCTCAATTACAATTTACAAACAAAAAGAGCTCCTTATTTGTATGACCGCAGTTAGCCTCCAGCTTTCTTAATTGAAACACCCTAAGAAAGTTCCACTTTTTTGCTTCCTCATTTTGTGGCTTCTACTCTACCAAAGAAACTGCACAAAGAATTAAAATAAAACCTTTTTGAATAAAGACTAAAAAGCAATTGATGGACCTCTGAATCAGTTCTATTAAAGGTAGCCCGCTCAAAAGAGAAAGTTATGTGGCTAGTGAAGGCACAGATATATAGTTGATCTCTTGATAAACTAAGAGCACCAACTACATCTTTCTTTTTTCACCAAAAACTTATTTTCTTAGGCATCATTTTCTATTTGGTATTACTAAATATTGTCTATAGGGATCCTTTATTCGACTAAAAGATTTCTCATTTTAAGCCTTTTCTTTGAGACAACAGTCATGAAGAAGCAATCTACAAGATACACTCTATGCAGTTAGTTCCATTAAAAGAAATTGTGGTTCTATAGCCCATACATAACCTCTTAAACATATTCATCAATAATTTGCAACTTGGATGCATTTTGATTAAAAATTTGCAACTTGGATGCATTTTGATTAAAAATTTGCAACTTGGATACATCTCCTTGAGAAATCAACTTCTACTTTCTTGAATTCATTTGATACTGCCGAACACAAAAGTATTCCATATAATAATCTACCAAATTTTCCATAGAAGCACTAATGGTTTGTTGAAAGGAGAGAAAAAATCAACCAGAAGAATGTAAACCCGACTTTCTCACCTTTCGTCGTCAAACACTTTGCAAATTCTGCAATAGTATTTAGCCATGGAGAAATTGTTGCAAGAGAGAGATGCGCAATTGGGACGGAGTGGTTGTATCTTCAAGCATTTCATGCACATTATTTGGGTGATAGATTTTCTGCAAGCATGTCAACCAGAGTTGGGATATGTCAAGCAGCACAAAAGAAAGGAAAGTCCTGAAGTTACCAATAGGCAAGGAGACCAAGTGCGTCCCACTCAGACCTGTCCAGACAATGATCAGTAATTTCATCGTGACACCGTATGCATGGGAAAAGCTCATTACAACATGGAGCAAGTAGCTTGCAGCTTCTCTTGTAATGGTTGCAACCAAAAACTGATTCTTTTTCATCACGAAATGATGGACATCGACCAGTAATTTTCTCCTTATCCTTTGCAGTAGCAACCTCTGAATGAGACTTCTTCTGTGTCAAAATCCATTGACTGAAAGAAACCCATATAAAGTCAAATCAAATAAAAGAGGCAGAAGAAATATACTGAAATCTAGAGAAAAGAAGAAAGTTTAGGTGCTTTTGCATTTATCTTCAGTAGTGGTAAAACCATTTATATACTTGCACGTCAACAAATTGCCATTCCAAGGATTCTAGAACAAATGTAGTTCACCTTATAACATTTCAACAATCCACAGGAAAATTGACTTTGTTTTTTTCTAAGAGTCACTGTGTAAAAGCTCAATTCTTTGTGCTCCTGGATATCTCCATTGTATTATCACTCTACGTTCTAACATACATTATTCAAGTGCAGTCGTACAATTTTGAGAGCTAGTAAAAGTTCTGGAGGAGCCCTTAGAAAAAGATAAACAATAAAACTAGATAATGCAGGAACCAAGTTTCCGATTCTCTCTTCTTTGTGCCACATTTGCCAATCCAGATCCAATAGCAAGCACTGCACGGAAATCATGCTAAAAGCAGGACTAGAGACTGAACTGATGATGTACATGTATTATGCACCTATTCAGTTATCTGATACTAGTGATGGTTCAATTAAACAAACTAATGCTGTTTAGGTATGGTGCATTATATTTCATGTTTATGAAGTTATCTGGTACTAGTAATTATGTTACCATATATAGTTGCTTCCAAGAAATAAATCAAAGGGTAGAAGTTGAAAATGTATTTGCCTCATTAGCAAGCTCTGCATGAGGTATGATTTCTTTTCAGAATCCAAAGAGGAATCGCATGATACTCTTCTTACTACGTCGACCAGCTTGTCTTGAGTCAGCATTAGATGGTTCTCCTTTTGCCTTGACTGCTCATATAATTTTGTATCCCAGCAAGTTATTTCTCTCTGATCAGCAATGTCAATTGTGTCGTTGCATCTCTTCTTGTCAACCTCAGTAGAATGCTGTGTAATATCTCCGAATAGATCACCATTTTTGTTCCCCTTGGTATTCTGGGTTTTATCTGCAGCAAAAGATCCAGATTGACCATACTCATGATCAGCAGACTCTGTCAGTGAAAAGTTCTCCCCTTTTTCGGGGAAGCTGCTTGGACTCCTGAAATCATCTCTTGACAGATATTTAGACACAACTTCTAAAGGATCAATAGCCAATGAAGGAGAAACCTTTGATCCCTTTTCGGCATTTACACTCTCATCCTTATTTACACCTTCCCACCACTCTCCCAGCCACTCAAAAAACTTTGTATTTTTTGTGGCTTTGCGCCAGATTGACATGATGCCGTGCTGTTCTTCTGGTGTTAGAGATTCCATCAGCCAGGGAATCATCTCTTGTAGATTCTCCGCTTTTGTTCGTCCAAGGATGTCTCCAATAATCTTTTCTTGTTCCTCAACAGAAAAGTGTTCTTTGAATAGTGGCCACAGTTCAATTTCTTCACGGTAGATGTGGTCAGTGAGTGTTTTATGCATAGATATGCATGTATCATGGAGATTTAAGCACAACTTTTTGTATTTCAGCTTATTACTGTCAACCATGTCCACATCACCTAGCAAACCGTTGATCTCATTTAAGATGACAGAAATTTTGTTGAATTGCTCAACCTCCAATTTATGGTCAATACCATATGAATGGCTGACATTCTGGAGTTGTCCCTTAGATTCCAAGGCAGGAAAGGCAATTTCATCCTCGGACTTACTATGTAGCTGGTATAGAAATTGTACGAGATGGAACCGTCTTTCAAATTCAGTAAGAATTCCAACATCTTCAGCCAACTTAACCGACAGAGAAAGAACATACTGCAAATCTCTTTTTAGGGCCTTGTGGAAGAAATGGAAAAAGTCGATTGGTTTTACATCAAGACTGTAAAATCCCATACCATCAGCAGCAGTTGCATTAAGGAAGCATAAGTTTTTTAGCGAGTCCGAGAAAAATATATGAAGATTGATCCCATTAGAATAAGGTGTATCATGCTTATTATTTAGTGTCATGGCTGAATTTGGTCCAAGTAAAACAGTCTTAGATCTATCAGAAGATTGCATTTCCGAGTGCGAGGAAGAACTTCCAGAACTCTTACTCCACTTCTCAAACAAATAGCTTCTGCTACAGAACATTTCTTCCAAATCTTTTCTAAACTTCTCAACAGAGATTTTGCCAGAATAACCCATCCGAACCCACTCATATAAGAGAGTAGCAAAGGACTTGTTAACTACAGCAGATCCTAACTTTATATTGTTTAAAATCACCTTGGACTCATCCTCAGATAAATGAGCAGAGAACCAAGTAATCAGGCACTTTAGCAACCCAAGTGGCAACATATGCAGGCTCATGTACAATGACCAGAGCTGCAATTCATGACTGCAGGTCTCTCGAATGAACAGAAAAACCTAAAAGAAACCAGGGGAACAAAAGTCAACATGAAGTCTAATTTCTAACTACTTGGGAAACACCTTAACTGTGAGGAAGTAGCTGAAAACTATTAACAGAAGAAGCCAATTAGTCCATAATAATTACACAAAGGCATGTCTTTCGCCTGTAGTAAAACTACAGCTGGAAAGGCAGCATACCTGTGTTTCTAGAAGCTGCAGCTTTTTGTTGATCCTCGCGACAAATGATTCCAGTTCTTGGCAAAGCATATCTGTGAAAACCCTTAATTGAATTCCCTCATGTAGCTTATAGTAAAGCAATCTCTGCAGTTCTTCAATTTGACTTCTTTCAATAAATTGTTCATGAAAAGTAGAAGGAGCATCCTTGGTCAATTGATCTACCAAGGGATAATAGATTTGATCCAGTGCATTGCTGTAAATTAAAGCAATACTCAGAAAAATAAAAAACAATAAACATGAAATTATCTTATACCTACCGAATTTTGAAATGATAAATCAGTATCCCAGCATGTCATTTTTTTGAGCATTTGACAAAATACATTAATGTCTAAGGGAATAAGATCACATTGACTTTTCATCAAGTACAAGAATTTAGCTGAGAAGTTACTGAATGAACATGGCCTACTACCTGTAGAATGTGAACACATCTGCAAAAAACTTCAACTGGGTAATTACTGACGACAAGGTTGAAACACAAAGCGAGCTTCTTAATTGATATAGCTCCTCCATAATTACTCTTAGATCTCGTGTAATAGCAGCATGCCAGATATGAAAACCATCAATCGGATTCTGTCCTTCTGAAGCCTCCAGCTGCTGCTTTTCCCTGCACTGAACCATCAGCACATCCAGTTCAAATATGTACTTCATATTGGCTGCTCCATAATGAAATTTAGCTCCTCTTCCATATTTTATGCAGGACCAGAAAGACGATTCCTTGTTATCGTCAAGCCATGAGATGAACACCTTCAAAATTTGATGCAAACTAGTTAGATCGGGGACTTGGGACTTTAAACTTACAATATATATAGTTGGAAAAATTTCTTCAACTCTACCTCTTGAATAAGTTTCTCTTCAGGTAAGACTAAATGTATGAAATTCAGGAAGTCTGCCTTTTCATCTGAAGAAAGACTAGCTGTTAGCCATGGCATAAAATCCTGCAGTATCATTAGAGGAACACTACATAGGTACTGCCAAACAAGCCTAGCCTGCTCTTTGGAAGTGAACTGCTGCATCATCAAAGGAAAAATCTGCGAGGAAATTTTAGTTGCTAGAGATTTCAGGAAAGAGAGATCACATAAAATAGGGAATCTTCTTTTAAGAATTAATAACATCACCTTAGGGAATCTTCTTTTAAGAATTAATAACATCACCTTTGAGCACTCGACTGTTTTTAAGTCTATCAGCAAAACTTTGCGTTGATCTCATTTTCAGATAAATATAGAGCTAATTTACTACGCATGAATCCGCAATACAAGTCAACAACAATAACTATGCTTCAATCCTAAGAAATCAGGGTCGGTTATATCTCACTGTCCATGTTGCTCCATTTAAGCCTGTCTCGGTGCATTACTATAAAAACTTAGTTTCTCTAGCCTTATAAGTTCGTTATATTTCTACAGGCATATAAATATCTAACCAGACTAAATTAAGTGATACAAGTATTTCATAAAATTTTGAAGTCACTGGATTTCTTTCACCCTTCATAAGTGGCTCTCGCTTCAACTGCTACTGGATAGCAGTTGAAAGACCGTAAGGCAGCCAAGTGTTAGGGGCAAGCTCCCGCACAAGAATTAAAAATTTCACGCACATTGATTTGAGAGATAATGAAAGTGTCTAACAAGTTAATATTGACACATCTGGATGGGAGGTTAAGTACCATGTCTTTCCATCAAGAAAGAAGGACCAAACATACAATGCAAAGAACTAAAATGGTGCGTTATAGGGATAAGAAGATCGGAATATCTATGTCGTATACTTGTATTTCCTTACATAGTTACAACACCTGATTTTACAATCCGGGCGGTAGGTTGCCTTAGATTCTTGGCTCTTAGTGATAAGCCTGAGTATTTTGGCATGCAGAGCTATACACTAATAATTTACCGTTTCATCTGTAAAATTAGAAAGATGTGACATCAACTCATGCGTCTCTCCTTCTCCATGCTTGCAATAGAGAAATCACAACTCATTCTATCTAATAGGGGGTCTCAAAAACTAATAGAGGCCTACGAGCGAGAAATTGATTACAGTTCAGATCAAAAGTAGATAAGATGCTGAATACCTGCTCCTCTTCTTTCAGCATGTGCTGAGAAATCGTTGTCTGGATGGTACCTATGCTACATGTAAGTTCATTAAACAGAATAGGAATCTCCTCTTTCTCCTTTTGTAAGCGATCCAAGCAATTGAAGATGGAACTGAAGAGATCATCTATACTAGTGTGTTCAAGTGAATATGTGAAGACCACATTCTTCACTTGTGCATCTAGTGCTTGAAAAAGGACCTGTCAATGTCAAAATTCAGATTTTGGAAAATTAGATGAAACTTGAAGGTGGAAATTGAAGTCGTAAGTAGATGAAAAAACAGATAAAGACAGTGAAATTGGTGATCAACAGAAAAGAATACATCTCTATATTGTTCAACTGTGCTTAAGATCTACCATTTCATTCCTATGCACTCATGGCTTATCTTTGAATCTCCTTGTGAATTTTAAGCTCAGAAATAGGTAATATCTTAACAAATGCCAGTGCTTTTATCAGAACATTAAGTAAGCTGAGTATACTGCTGAAAAATGAGATTTCTTGGTGAAACTACCCCCTAGCATCGTTCTTTTTTGTCAATATGTAAGTAGTTTAATTAGGTGCAGTTTGTTTGTGGCTTTTTGTCGAACATTACTAAGCTTAAGCGCGATTTGAAACAAAAAAGTAGAGAGTAGAGATAGCACACGGTTATTAAAGCCCACAAGTCAATAAATGTTTAATTACCTCATCTTCAGCAGCGCAATGGTACTTATATACAAGCTTCAAGAAGTGAAACCGCCGGCTAAGTTCATCAACTAATTCACCACCACGAGACCCCGTATCCAAGGCTTCAACCGCTATACGACGAATCTGAACAAGTTCAACATCAACAGCTCTATGAGAAAGAACGAAAAAAAGAATAGGCGATTCAACCAATAACTTCACATCAGCAAGTTCAGAATAAGAAGAAGATGGCAACGCATCATTCTTCTTCGATTCTCCAATACCACCCATTTACCACCACCTATCATGAAAATTGAAAATTAAAGGTCAATATAATGGCATATAATAGATTTATTTGTTTCTTTGCCTCTTGCGTTGTGGCCTCTTTGGTGCCTCTTCAAGTTCAAAATCTTTATTTTATTTGTTTATTTATGGCTTCTATCTAGTATAAGATTCCAAATTTCTTATGTTGTGAAGCTAACCTAACCACTATTTAATCTATTCTTGGCGCCATGCCTGTGTTATGTTGACATTCATTTGATGTAGTAGTATTTTCCATGTGATACATAATCCATGTCTTAGGGATTTTCCCAGTTTGCACCTCTGCCTTCAAATTAACGATTTGGCCTTCTATGTTTTTTTTTTTTTTTTAAAAACCAAAACTTTTGCCCTTCAGCAACTTTTTGATGGAAGGCTATGCTAAATAATCCATTGACCATTTCAAGCATCAAAAGAAATTTATTTGTAAATATTTACCTTACAAAAATACACAAAACGTGTAAGTCTTTATTTATTTATTTTAACACTTCTTTTTGTTGTCTCTTATAAAGATTTATTAAATTATTTTTATTTTATATAGTATTCTTTTCTTTTCTATCCATCAAAATGATTAACGCATTACTATATTTAAAAAATCTTTATCTCAAAAATTCTATTTTACCTTTAATGACATATTCTTATAGGAAATAAAATGGCAGGTTGAAGGTCATTAGCTACTTAGGATACATTTAGTATCTTGTATATTTTGAACTTAAAGAGAAACTAACTTTTTTTTTCATGCACTAGTTAACACCATTTAGAATAAGGTCTAATTTGTACGCTAAAAATATGAAAGTTATGGTGCTATATGCGCAACTTAAAGAGTTTGACCTCTAATAATTAGGTACCTAAAATACAAATTTGCCTTAAAAAACTTTTGCAAAGGATATCTCTAAATAATATCTTAATTAGTACTTTTTCATCTAAACTTGCAAATAAATTATCTTTGCACGCCTGAAACAGTTTCAGGAGGAAAGCATGAATTTAATAAGCTTTAAATAAATCTCCAAATGCTTGCCTTTCATATTTAATCCCATGCTAACTCTCACTGGGCACGTGCTGTCAACGTGACCACACAAGTTCCTCTCGTGTCTTTCTTCTCTCAACTTTTGGATTTCTGAGTGTTTAATTAATGTGCTCATACTGACAATGTAAAATATAAGACATTAAATTATTGTTATTGTTGTTATTATGATTTTGTCTTATCATAAATTATATATTTAGTCAATCATTTAATATAGCCGACTATGATTTTCAATTCTCGTCATAAATTTTAAACCCCCGTCGCCTTGTCTACTATACCATTTTTCAAAGTAAAAAAAGTGAAAGAAATTCTATACCTAGTTGACCTACGTACAAAATCCAAATCTGATTTATTATGATGTATCAAATCGTTGACCATCGTACAAGAATCAACATTGATTTAGATGTTTTTTTTTTTTTTTTTCTAGATTTCTGGAATGACACGAGCATGAATCATAATAAGTATGTGTGCCATGAGAATGGAAAATTTGCAATATCTCGAGTGATATTAGTCTCTATTCCCATTTTTTTTTAATTTGGTAAAGATATGATCAAGTCTTTACAATTGAATTTTTTTCTAAAATGAACAAATTAGTGGCTAGTCCGGCAATTTTTTGTGGATAGAACAAGATATGCAGAATGAAGATAGTACGAAGTCTTGAGGACTCCCAAAACTTGTGAAAAATTGAATAACACAAGCAAATTTTGTGAGACATAATTTGTGAAAAATGTGTACTAAAGTTATATCTGCTCGTCATAACTTGCGAACCGTAAATTTTGGCCGTCAGACAGAATTTTATAGACAATTTGTACCAATATTTTGAGACGCCTCGCATAACTTGTTGATAGAAACTTAGGGTCCACCAAACTGTATAGAGAACCGGGTTCTCTAGCAGTTCCCACATAACACACACAGAGAGATAAGTAAATGACACAACAGAGTTTTACGTAGAAAACTCCTAGCTCACGGGATTAAAAACCACGACCTACAATCGTAGGATTTCAACTTCACTAACCGAGCAAGTTCAGATTACAACCTATTGTAACCTAGGAATTAACATCTTAAGCTCTCGCTCACTTGTAATAACTCTATTACAAGCCTCTTTGTGATAACACTATTACAAAGCTAACAACTTGACTCACTATAGTCAAGACACAAACACAAGGTTTATGATTTTACAAAAGGTTTCCTACACAATGCTTCTAGCTAAGCTAAGTAGGAATTAAAAGTAAATTACTTTAACAAAGGTACAACATAACGAAGGACATATAATAACTCAATGCAGGAAATTGGTCCTTCGTTATTATGTTCTCTATTCTTGAAGCCCTGGGTGCCACTTGCAAGTTGGCAACACACTTAAGAGAAAGCTTGATGAATTCTGGAATGTGCAAGTGTGTTGTTTTCCCTTTGCTTCATGTTAATATTTGGTACAAGGGCATTCCCCATAAAGTGACTGCTGCACTGTTTGCATTGTTGCATGTGTGCATAGGAACAGTTGCAGCGACTTTACAACTGTGGGGAGTTGACTGGTATAGTCAGTAAGGGAACTGATGTTCATTTGTTCCCTCTTTTGTTTCTTTGACTCTGAGTGTTGGAACATGTCCCAGACTTGAGACTTGTTGATCTTGAGCACGTTAAGGATGTGGAACAGGTTCCCTATCTGGTTCTTATCATTAAGTTTGTTAGATCATCAAAACATAACAGGACACATAGACACATAACCTATCAATTTTCCCTTTTTTGATGATGACAACTTGTAATTGAAGTTCCCCCTGAGAACTAGAGCGCCATAAATATTTCTTGTATTCCCTCTAAACCCGTTCCCCCTGAGAACCAGAGTACCATAAATATTTCATGTATTCCTCCTGAACCTATTCATCCTCAATTAATTTCCTCCTTTTGGCATCATAAAAAGATTGGTAACAAGTAATAAGCAAAAAGGAGTCTAGCAAGCTTAACTCATGCCACATGTGTGCACACAAACATGACTAAGAACAGAGCATAAGAGCAAGGCATGCATAGCAAAAGGACGGGATATTCATTAATTTAGAAATAAACAGGGAGCAGAATTAGCAGTATCATTTGTTACATAACCATCCACAAAGTAAAACAATAGAAAAAGTACCAAGGACCAAAACAGAGGACAGACAACTTAAACTGGATATTGGGATGGGGCGATTTTTAAGGAGCACTGGAAGGGGGAGGCAGAGATGAAGAGGCAAGGGTTCTAAGGAGAATATCCATTTGAGCATTTGCTGACACTTGCTCATTAAGTAACCTCTCCTTCAGGTCCTCGACCTGTTTCCTGAGTTAAGTATTTTCGTTGGTCAGACGGGCAACCTTTGCGCCTTGTATACTGCTGGAACCAGGTGCCTCTTGGGCCTGACTAAGTTGTCCCTCAAGAATGACATTTCGTGCCTTCAACTTCCTTATCTCTTCGTTCTAAGCTTCAATCGGTTGAGAGATAATAGAATTATTGTCGACCCCTCCTTTCTTATCGATGCACTCATACTCTTCTAATGTGGTCTTGGAGAAAGTCTGATTGCGAATATCCATTGTAGCATTTCCCAAAGGGACTTTGAAGAACTCAAATACCTTAGTGAGTAAAAACCCGTAAGGCAACCCATGACTACCATCCTTAAAATATGTCACTTTTTTCATATGCTCAATCTTAATGTCCGGCAGATTTATAGTGGAGTAGGCATCCAGTGCTTCCATAAGGAACAGGTCTGCTCGAGACGTAATGGAACACCTTTCTGCACGTGGGAGCAAAACCTTGTTGCCATCTCAAACAATAGTTGGTACACTAGAAGGAGGGCCTTCTTGTGTACCCGTTCCCCCTGTTGCACTGTATTATCCTTCAAAATGGCATTTCTGAAGATTGGAGAACAAGTCCCCTCAATGGATGATATGCCACCAGTAGGCACTCCCAAAATTTTTCCCAACACAACCTTATCCATCAAAAAGTCAACACCATTCACCTTCATGCATATGTTGTCATCTTCAATTGTGAACATGTCTGCATAGAAGCTGTGCACCTCTGCCTCATACACCTTAGGACTCTCATTTGTGAACAAATGTGTCCACTATTGAAACTCACAGATATCAACCAGTTGGCGCATCTCTGTCATGTCAAGAATATCAAGAGAAAATGTTCTGCCCCACAACACCTTCTGGTTTCTCAGATTTTGTCTTCCTTCATCCTTGGCCACACCCACCTTGGCCTTCTTAGAGGAACCTGCTTCCGCATTGGCACCAGCCTCCCGTTTCACAGATTTTCTCACACTTTTTCCTTTCTCGGCAGACTTCTCAGACACCTTTTCTCCATACTTTTCAGACACTTTCTCACCAGACTCCTCAGCCACCTTCTCACCAGACTTTTCAACTTCAACATTGCTAACCTCCAGCACTCTCACAAATGACTATTTCCTAGATTTTGGAACTGTAGGTTTCTTAGAGGAATTACGAATTAAGGAAATAGGTTCCTCATTCACATCGTCATCAACATCAACAACAAGTGATGGAGGCACTACCTCTTAATTTACTACCTTTCCACCCTTCATCAACCTCCTCTTTTTTTCTTCTTCTTTGTTTTTCTTAAGAACTGATTCAAGAGCTTCCTTCTTTTGCAGCCTAGTAGTATGTCTTTTAGGAGTGGGATTTTTGGGAGTTTCCCTACTACTCCTTGCAGCAATAAAACTAGCAACAGAGATATTGTCATAATCTTCTTCACTATCCTCATTCTCTTCCTCAAAAAAAGATCTAATCTCAGGAATAACAATGGTTAATGGCTCAGCATCGAAATGAGGAGAGGGAGTGGGATCAGTACTGACATGGGGTTCTTTTGAAGAATAGGGGGTTTCATCCCAAGTCAGAGCAGAGGGCTCCTTTTGGGCTGAGGGATCAGGTCCCTCATGTGGTTCCTCAGTAGTACTTTCAGGTGCCAGATTTTCAACAGGCACCAGTTCCTTACTCTCTACCTGTAGACTATCACCTTCCCCCTGAGACCCATTGGTTTCAGAAACACCTTCATAACCACTAACTAAACTACCCTCAGCAGCTATTAACAACATATTCTCTATGGCCTCTTGTTCATTCAACCCCAAAGTAGATTCAGAAGACATAGGAAGAATATTACTTGTAGGGTTGACAACATTTAAGTCAAGGTTTGGGGTAATCAGCATTGATTCTTCACCACTACAAACCACACTTTGTTGTGCCTCAGAACTTTCTTCTACTTGCATATTGGAGACTTCTTGA